CCCCTTGCCCTTCTCCACACCACATCCCTACACTCACACGCCAACAGCACCGTACGTTGGCCTGACCGAGCTGTCTGGAGAGAGCAACGATGCTGCGCGCACACCGACTCTAGACGCCCTGCACAAACCAACTACCAGCACCATCCTACCCACCAGCATCTGCGGCGAGTGCAGACATGACGGCGGCAGCGTCGACAGCGCGGGTATCGCTCGACGAGCCTGGAACGTCTTCACAGCCGAATGGCAAATCGATACCAACACACACCGACACAGATGATGGCAATGAGGATGACGCAGGGTGGCGCGATCTTTCGGGGATGTCGGAGGACGAGGTGCGGGAGGAGCTCAGCAGGGTGCGCGAGGAGCGCGACACCTTCGAGACGCAGTACCGCTCGCTGCTATCCAAGCTCACCACGATGCGCGCTACACTGGGCGACCGGCTTCGGCAAGACGCCGAGGAGCTTGACCGGCGCGAAACGCAGATCGAGTCGCTGACGGCCAAGGTGTCTTCGCTCGAATCCTCAACTGCGACGTTGAGGGATGAGCTGGTTGCGTCGCACGACGAGACGGAACGGCTGACCAAGCAGGTAGACACACTGCGTGCATCGCTTGCAGCGACCGAGAGCGACAGGGCGACGAGGTCGAGTAGCGATGCGGGGCGGATGGAGCGCGAGCGCGAGCTGCACGAGCTTGTGGAGCGCACCAAGCTGGATGCGCACAACTGGCAATCAGCGTGCCTGGAAGAACGTGCGCGGCGCGAGGATCTCGAGACGCAACTGTCCGACGCTCGCGATGCAGCCGAACGCGCGCGCCAGGCCGAGACGCACCACCGCCTCATCGCCGAGCGCGAAGCCGCCTCGGCCGCCAACCTCTCTGCCGTCCTCAGCGAATTCGAGTCCTCGCAAGAAGCGGAGCTCTCACGAGCTCTCGGTGACCACCGTGCCCAACTCGATACCCTCTCCACCTCTCTCGCCGAGTACAAATCGCGTGCCGAGACGGCCGAGAGCAAGCTTTCCGAGAATGCGGACTTGGCATCACAGGCGGAGAGACTCAGTGCGCAGGTGAAGGAGAAGAATCTGCTGATCGGCAAGTTGCGTCACGAGGCGGTGATTCTCAACGAACACCTTACCGAAGCGCTGCGTAGGCTGCGCAATGACCAGAGCGAGACCAACGTGGACAAGCGGCTGGTGACGAATCTGGTGATCCAGTTCATTACTACCCCGCGCACGGATGGCAAGCGCTGGGAAATGCTCAACCTCATCGCAAGCGTTCTTGATTGGTCCCACGACCAACGCCAACAAGCCGGCCTCTCCAAAGCCTCATCCACAGCCACAGGGGCACAGAGACCTGCTTTGCGAAGCGCAAACACAAACGCTTCAGCGGCGAGTGTCGGTGCCGACGAGAGCTTTTCAAATCTCTTTGTCGAGTTCTTGCTCTCGGAGGCTGAGAGTGGAAAGGATAAGGACGGATCGCAAGAGGCCGAGGGCCAAGTGCCAAATAGGCTGCTCAGCCCGACGAGATCCGACTTTGCCACTTCGCCAGAGCCACCTCAGGATGCCCAGCAGCAGCAACAGCAGCAACAGCAATCATCCGGGTTGGGGTCGTATTTCGGTCTTTCGCGCGGAGGCAATCGCAAGTAGAAGCACTCACACACACCCACACACACGCTTCGCCATCGTTATACAAATGTGCATCTGATGATTTCGACCACTGCATAACTACTTGTGCTTCTTCTCCTTCTTCTCCTTCTTCTCCTTTTGTGGCTCCTCGTCGTCTTGATCGTCGCGCTTCCTCTTTGACGGCGTTGGCTCGGTGGGCGGGACAAACGCCTTTTGCCTCTCCGCCTCCCTCTTCTCCTTCTGCTCCTGCTGGTGCGCGATCTTCTTCTGCTCCTCGGCGTGCTTCTTCTGTCTTGGCTTGAGGAAGTACTCGCCGCTCTCGAGCTGCAGATCGATCTTGCTCGGCTGCTGCGGTGGCGGGAAGGGCGTATAGGTCTTTGGCTTGATCTTGTCCTTCTTCTGCTCGCCCTCGGTGGGCTTTTTGGGTTTGACGTTCCGCTTCTTGAACTTGGGCAGGAAGCGCTCCCAGTTCTCCTCGGCGAGCTTGGGGTCTTTGGCGAGCTCGCGCTTGATCATGAGCTCCTTGATGTGATAAATGGGGTGGACATTCTTGAGGCAGTCGATCACGATACGGCGTACCTCCTTGAGCGACTTGAACGGGCCCATTGCCGACACGGTATTTCCCTGGACAAGAACATAACAGCCCGTCAAAAGTTCGATCGCTTTGAGCGTGCTACCATTCGGACCAATGATGCGCTGCCTTCGCTTAACGAACCTCTCCTTATTGCGGAGAAGATTGCCGATCTTGATCACGTCACATTCGATACCGTCTTCGAGGATCTTGACCGCTTGCGGGAAGGGCACCGATCGCGACAGCAGACGGATCATGTCGCGCGCCTTGAGCACAATGTACGGATCATACGCCTTGCGCGTCGTCTTGACCGTCATCGAACCTTCGACCAAATCGAGCGTACACGCAATACCGTGCTTGTCCAGCGCAGACGTCACATGTCCCCAAACCTCCTTGAGATAGCGCTCGCGGTACTTGGGAAACAGCGTGGCGAACGACGACTCTTCCAGAAACGGGCCCTTGATCTCGTCGGGCGTGAACTTGGGTACCTCCCAGTGGTTGATCGTGTCGTTGTCCCATGGCTTGTCCTTGCGGTGGCGCTTGTTCTTGGATACGGCCTGAGCGGGCGGCTCGGCGTGCGAGGATGATGTGTCCGCCATCGTGTTTGTAGTAGGAGGATGTGTGGGATGAGGGTGTGAATGAAGGTGAGCGCGGTGTGGAGGCGAAAAAAGAGGGTCTTCTGCTAGGCAGAGCCAAATTTGGCCGCCTTGGCAGCCCTCAACGCGGCGAAAAATTCTAGAATTTCGCGCCTCCGCTGCTGCTGCTGCTGAGCCCTGCCAAAATGCCAAATTTTCATCGGCGATGGCTCGACATCGCATCGGGGTTGGTCGCTCGGGAGTCGGACTTGCCCGTGTTGGCCGCATGGACCCCACGTCAACTCTTACCTACCGCCTTCCCACTCTCCCATTCACCTTGCTTTTCTTTCTCGCGGCCCACGATGTCAACAACACCCTCGCCATCGAAACGGGCACGGCTGCCGACGTCCAACATCCCGTCAGCGACGGCGTCACCGTTCGCTGGCAGCTCGGCGGCGCGCTTCACGGGTCCGCGCTCCGTCGGTCCCACGGGCACCTCGGCAGTGGGGATGGGCATGAGTCCGGCGGACGCCTTCACCCCCGGCGATGTATACAACATGTCGGGACTCACACCATTCAGCACCACGTCTCCCGCATATGCGGCGGGCGCAGCGGGCAGCCCACTCAGCACCGCGCTCGCCCACGGATCGCGCGTCCTCTCCGGCATCCAGGCCGGCTCGCCGTTCCAGAACCAGTACACCGCAGGCCCCACACCGATGATCCCCCAGATGCAGTATTCCAGATACCCCAGCCAGCAGGGTGGGCCGTGGAATGCGCCGTATGCGTATGCGGGCATGACGCAGCAGCCAGTACATCCACCTAAACCACCAGCACCCCAGCAGGGATCGCCAGAGTATTTGAAGATGAGCCTAAACCATTTGACTGCGACGCTGCTGCCCAAACTCGAGGCCGAGGAACAGGCGTATTTCGATGCAGTGTAAGTGCAGACCCAACGACGCTCACCGCATGCTGGTGAAGACGGGCTGACGCTTGGTCTTTTGGCTATCCAGCGATGCATCTCTGGCGGTGACTGCAGATACCCGCACTATAGCACGTAAGTTCCTCGCTCCTCTCACACTTGATGTTGTGGCGATGCTGATCTGTTTGTCGCGCGTTGGGGTTGATAGAAAAAGGGGCCGCGTTCCAGGCCGCCCTCAACGCCGTGTTGACGTACTTGGACGAAAACGGCCTCGCCAGCATCCCGCTTCTTCCACCTACCTCGAGCAAAGATTCCGACCCCGACCCGGCCTTATCCACTTCCGACGCACCCCCAACAGACGCCCCACCCGAGCCAACCACAACCTCCTCCGATTCCAACTCGGACACGCTCGCCACCGAACTCACCTCTCTCCAACAGCACGCCAAAGACCTCTTCTCGCGCCGGCAGCGGCTCAAAGAATCCGCCTCGATCGTGACCGGCATCCTGGACGCCTAGACTGGCCATCACAATCGCAATTGCATTCGGAAAAACTACGCATACTGCTCCAGGTCGAGCGTAAGACTGCTGGACGAATTCACGTCCTGGTCCCTATAGATGCCGACGAGGCTCTGCGAGCGCTCGTACAGCGACGCCTTGAGCGAGATGACGATGAACTGGAACTGGTCGCTGGCGTGCTGCCGGATGTAGTTGCTCACCTTGGCGACGTTTTGCGAGTCCAACGCCGCATCCACCTCGTCCAGCACAAAGAACGGTGCCGGCTGGAAGCTGTGGATCGCAAACAGCAGTGCCAGCGCCGCCATGGTCTTTTCTCCACCCGACAGCGCCGTAATGTCCCTGAACCGCTTCATCGGCGGTACCACCGAATACGTAATCCCGCCCAGGTACGGCTCTTCGGTATTCTCGATCGACAAGTACGCAGATCCACCCATAGGCGCCGCCTTGGAGCGCGACAGATCCTTGTAGGTCGCATCGATCTGCGTCGAAATGTGGTAGAAGGCCTTGTTGAACAGATCGCACCGCCGCTTGCGCAGCCGGCTGAACTCGTCGCGCGCCTCCTTGGCCGCGCGCCGCGAGCGGTCAAACTCCTTTTCGGTCTCGGCCAGCTTCGCCTCGGTATCGTCGAGTCGCTCGACCGCCTTCATGTTGGGCGACATCTTTTCGATCTCGGCCGTGATGCTCTCGATGCGCGTCTGCAGCTCGTTGCCCATCGCCACGCCGCCGTCCTCCTTGGCCTCGTCGTCGAGCGTGCTAAAGTCCACCTGGATGCCGAAATCCGGCGCCGCCATGGGCTTCTGCGTGTTGTCGTCGTCATCCACATCCATGGGCACGTCCACATCGATCGTCTCCTCCAGCCCCACCTTGGCCAGCGAGCCCTTGAGCAGCGGCAGAGCGATCTCCTCCAGGCGACAGCGTCGGTAGATCGCCGCGCGCTCCGAGCCGAGCCGCTCGATCTCGTCGTTGCGCGCCGCAATCTCCTTGCCCAGCGAGTCGAGCAGCCGCGCCGCCTTGGCGAGCTCGGTGCGCCTCTCGTCGAGCGCCGCCTTCTTGGCCTCGTTGGTGGTCTGCAGCTCGGCGAGCTGCGTCTGCATCTCCTCAATCTCGCCCTGCATGCCGTTCAGCTCGTCCTGCCGGCCTTGCTTCTGCGCCTGCCACGCGCGCAGCTTGTCGCCCTCGCGCGCGATCGCCGCACGCAGCGTCTCGAGCCGCTCCTCGGTGGTGGTGATCTGCTGGCGCTCAAAGTTGGCCTGGTGCGTGAGACGCGCGAGCTGCGACTCGAACTCGAGCCTCGCGTCGGTCTGGCGCTCCATGAGGCGCACCTGGCGCTCCTCGTACTCGCGGATGTTGTCCACGCCGATGCGGCGGCAGAAGGCAGCAAAGATGCGGTCCTCTTCGCGGTTGACCACCGCGTCGAGGCTCGCCATGCTGCGCTGCAGCTTGTCGTGCTCGGTGCGCGCCGCGCGCAGCTTGGGCTGCATCTCCTTGGTCTGCTTGTCGATGTTGTTGAGCTCGTCGCGCACGCCCGCCAGACGCGTGCTCGCCGCCCCCACCTCGTCCTGCACCGAGCGCAGGTCGGCCTCGAGCCGGCTGATCCTGGCCACCATGTCGTCGTCGCTGACAAACGCGCGCTTCTCCTTCTGCAGCTCCTTGAGCTCGGCGAGGCACTTGTCGCGCTGCGTGGTGAGGCCCTGCACCTCGCGCTCCTCCCAGCGCTTGCCGCCGGACGAGCTCGACTGGCCGCCGGTGATGAGGCCGCTTTTGTGGATCACAGTACCCTCGAGCGTGACCGCCTTGGCCTCCACCTTGCGGTCGTACACGACGCTGCGCGCAATGTCCATTGTGTCGCAGACGAGCGCGTTGCCGCACGCATGGTGGATGGCACGCTCGATGGAAGCGTCGAACTGGATAACGTCGACGGCGAGACGCGCGCCGCGGGCGATGCTGCGCAGGCGGTCGTTGATGGGCTTGGCCTGGATGCGGTCGAGCGGCAAAAAGGTGGCCTGGCCGGCGCGCGTGTTGCGGAGGTATTCGATGCAGTCGATAGCGGTCTTTTCCTGGTCAACGACGATGGCGTCCGTGTTGCGACCGAGCACGGTGGCGATGGCGGTGTCGTACTTGCGCTGTACGGGCTTGCACAGATCCACGACGCGGCCGCGGACGCCGGGGAAGATGCGCTGGAGCTTGGCCATGGTCTCCTTCATGGCCGCCTCCCTCTCGACCTCCTTGAGGTCGTTGCCCGCCTGCAGGAGCTTGTTGTAGCACACCTGGAGCGTGTCGTTGAGCTTTGTCTCGCGCTGGTTGATGGCGGTGTGCTTTGCCTGCGTCTTGGCGAGCTCGTCGCGTGCGGCGCGCAGATCCGTGTCGATCTGGATGCGCTTGGCTTCGAGCGAGGCGTGCCTCTCGGAGAGCGTCGACTCCTCGCCCTGGAGCTTGTCCTTTTGCTTTGTGAATTGGTCGAGCTTGTCCTCGTAGTCCTTGACGGCGTCTGCCTTGATCCTGGCCTCTCGCTTGAGCGTGTCGAGTTGCTGACGTTCTGCGACTGCCTCGAGGTTGGCCTGCGCCTTGAGGTTGTGGTATTCGCCGAGGTCGGCCTCGCTGAGGGTGAGGCCGGCGGACTCGAGTGCGCGCTGCTGCTCCTGTGCGGCGCGGTCTGCTGCGCGCTGTACGGTCTGCTGGTCGCGCTCGAGCTTGGCGAGGTTGGCGCGCTGCTTTTCGAGGTCGCGCTCCACCTGCTCGGTCATGCGTGCGCCGTTGTCGAGCTTCTTTTGGGAGATGGTGATCTTCTCTTCGTAGGCGTCAAGGGTGGGGCGGATATCTTCGATGTCGCGCTGCTTGCGCTTCATGGCCCTTTCGAGCTGGAGGATCTCGGTCTGGGTGTGTCCCTGGTCGCGCCTTGCCTTGAGCACGGCGTCTTCTGCCTTCTTGTGCTCTGTGCGCAGGGGCCGCATGTTCTTAGCCTGGGTCTTGACGAACTGGGTGTTGAGTTCGATGTCGTCGTTGATGTGGAAGAGGCGCCAGAGGATGTGGTTGAGGATGTGCTGTACGCGCTCGGTCTGGAGGCGCTGGAACTTTTCGGCCTCGCTCTTCTGCTCGCGGAACTGCTTGAGCTCGGAGTTGATGCCTCTGCGCTTGTTGAAGTTGAAGGTGGAGTTGTCGGTGGCGCGTTCCTGCGCCTCCTTTGCGCGCTCGTACTCTTCCTTGAGCTCGAGGGAGCCGCTGATCTGGTCGATGAGGCGGCTGAGCTCCTTGGAGCCCTGGGAGGCGACGGCCTCTACGTCGCCCTGGAAGACGAGGAAGTTTTTGGCCTTTACGAGGATGTTGAACTGCTCTAGCTTTGCGTTGTACTGGGAATACTGGATGGCCCTGCCGTTGTATCTGTATTCGCTCGAGCCTGCGAGTGTGATGGTGCGTTGGAAGCGATGTTCGTAGCCCTTGTTGTCCTCGTAGATGGCGGTGACGCTTGCTTTTGTGGCGGTGCCCTCGCCCTGGTCGTCATCGTCTTCGGATGCTGAACCAGGAGCGTCGTCGTCGTCGGCGGTGGCGGCGCCCATTTTGCGGCCTCGGAAGATGAGGTCCTTGAGCTGGCTGGAACGGAGCTGTGCGGAGCGGACGCCAAGCACAAACGAGATGGCGTCCATGAGGTTGGACTTGCCACTACCGTTGGGACCGATGACTGCGGTGAATGCATTGAAGGGACCGACGACCTGGTGGCCGCGGTAGGATTTGAAGTTGTCGATCTCTAGACGTTTGAGAGGCATTGTGAAGCCGGTGTATGAGGCGGGGCGTCTGCCCTCGAGGAGCGACTGGGATGGGTGTGTGTTTGTATAGGGATGAGCTGAAGAGGAACAAGACAGAAGCGAGGGCGTGTCGGGAGGTAGTGATGAGGATGAGAAGGGTGATGGATGGTGATGGATCCGATCGGATGTGCTCGAGCTGGGACTGCGCAGCCGCCCGACTGCGGGAGCGGAGCGCGAGCGGCGAGACCAACAGTCGCAGTGAACTGGACCAACTGATCTTCTGCCGGCAGCCCCATTTTCCCGACGCGGCTGCCACTCAACGCGTTGGTCTGGCAGGGCTGCGCGTCTCTGCCAGTTGGAAGCGACGACACGCGTGTGGTGCTGCGTTGGCCCAATTTCGAGACGCGCCTTCTTCGTGCTTTGGATGCGCGAAAGCTGATGCTGCTGCAGCACCCTTTTGCCCCAAAAAACGCCTCCACTCGAGCTAAAAAATGCGCAGCAGCATCAGCCGCTCCACAGCAGCCTCCGACGCGCACTGTTCAGATCGCATCGAGTTGGATCGGGCGGCCGGGCCCAAGTCACCTTCATATCAACGACTTCGACTCAGCCAGACTTCAACGAGCCTCATCCCCACCAGACCATGAAGCCGCAACAGGCACCACCGGTCGCAATCTAGGCAGGCAATGTCGGCGACCTCATCGCCGCGCAAGGGCAGCGTGCACTCGTCGCCCGTGCGTGCACCTCGACGCAGGCCCTCTGCATCTGCCTCCTCGCCCTCGTCTCGCTCCGGCAACCGGCGAGCACGCTCTCCGCAGCTGTACGACTCCATCGACGAGATGGACGACGAGAACGACGCTGCGTACGACCAGGACCTCGATGCAGATGGCGAGTACGACGACGACTATCCCGACCACGACGCCCAGGGCGAAGAGGAAGAGGTCGTCGTCGACACGGGCCCTTCTGCTCCCACACGCTCCGGCCGCGAACGCCGCACGAGCGAGAATCCGACGGACTCGACTCCACGCCAGTCGTCGCGGCCGAAACGCTCCCGAGCGCCGCACGGATCGTACTACGACCTGCCGCCGTTACCCAGCTTTTCCGACGCCGAAGACGATAGCGAAGACGAGGCACCCTCGATACGCAAGCGTCCACGCAGGGCCGAGGTGCTCGCATCCGATGCCGAGTCCGAAGAGCCCCAGGACCCGCGCAGCCTTGCACCCGAAGCGACAAGCAAGGTCGCCGAAAAGGAGGCGCAGACCGCACAGCCGCCAGTGGAGCTCACCGAAGAGGAAAAGCAAAAGGCACGCGAGGACAAGGAGCAGCACGAGCTTGCGGCGCGCTGGACCGACGAGTACTTTGAGATCGTCGAGCAGCTCCCGCTCGAAGTGCACCGTGCCTTTGCGCTGATGCGCGAGCTCGAGGGCCAGATGCGCACGCGCGTCACCGGCATGGTGCACGACATTGCCACCTACCACCACGCACGCCTCACCCTCCCCACCACCTCCTCCCCCACCTCACACAGCGACGAGGAAGGTAGTGAAGACGAAGCCGAAACTCTACTCGGCGCCCCCCTCCCTTCCACTCACGATGGTGATGCGGGGTGGATGGATAAGGCGGAACGAATGCAGTTGCTGCGGGGGATTTCTTCAGCCGCCAACGAATCGGTCAAAGCCGCCGAGGAAAAGATGGGTCTGGCAGCTACAGCGTACGAGTGGATTGACCGACACATCCGACGTCTCGATGGGGACATAGCCAAGCTCGAGGCGAGTATCCTTCTCGGACTGCGTAGCGGAACACAGGAATCGCGCGGGGCACGCGAAGCTTTGGGACTCGCACCCGACTCTCCCACCCCCACGCCCGCTGAACCGGTGGTGAGTGTGGCTGACACCGCAGCGCTCACCAAAGCAGCGGGGGCAAGACGCGGCCGCACGCGCAGCAGGAGCAACACCACCACCCCAAAGCAGGCCACAACAAAGCTGCCCAGTCCACAGCCTCGATCGCCCGGGCCGACACAACCATCCGAAGCCCCGCCTCGCAAACGACGGGGGGGACGAAAACCACGCCCCTCCGCAGGTCGACGCAAGAGTACAGTCGGGGACGCAGCGGTGGTGGTTGTGGGACCCGATACATCGGATATGCCCTTTGATCCCACCGAACCAAGGTACTGCTATTGCGACCAGATCTCGTTCGACCAAATGGTCGCATGCGATAACGACGACTGCCCTATCGAGTGGTTCCACTACGCCTGCGTAGGCCTTGAAGCGCAGCCCAAGGCAGAGTGGTTTTGCAGATTCTGCGCTCCCCCCCAATGGAAGGGTCCCGGAATGAGTGTGCCGCCAAACGCTAAACACCTCCCTCCCCCACCCAAAAAGCCCTGACCCCGCAACCCTCCTCCGTCTGTATTTGTACCCTCCTCCAATTCACACACATGCTCATCGACTGCGTGCAACTTCAATTGCATATCCATGCCAGGTCGTGCCGAGCTAGTTCTCGACTCCCTCGGTGGTGGCTGCACCCTCCGAGGGCGGGTCGCGCTCCACCTCCGCCACGCCCGCCATCTCTGCGAGCCCATCGATGATGCGCTGGCACGAATCCACATGCCACTCGGCGAGCGTCTTGCGGTTATTCGGCCCGATCATCGTCGTGTAAATGCCGTCCCTCGTAAGCTTGAGCTTCTTGGGACTTCCGATCGGCGTATTGGCCTTGAGCGGTGTCGGTGGCGAAATGAGCAGCGCCGCATCCTTCTTGACCCCCTCCAGCCTCGACGACACCGCCCCCACGCCTTCGCTCTGCGCCTCCACCTCGGGACTCGAGGGCGCGAGATTGAACAGCGTCCGGAACATGTCTTCGTCCGTCTTGTCGTCGCCGGCGCAAAATACAAACTCGGCGTCCGGATGGTCGTACAGAATGCGCTTCACAATCTCGCCCTTGTTGATCGCCAGCGGTCGCACCTCGAGGTTCTTCTTGCCCACCAGCACCTCGATCGCCAGCTTGTTCTGCGACGTCAGATTCTCCAGATGCGCCTGGCACTCTTTCGCCTGGAACGACCCAAAGTCCGGATCCGCACCGCGGTAGTGCCACGTGATCGCACTCTTCTTCTGCTCAATCACGCTGCCCGCAGTGCGCTCCGTGTAGTACTCGAACACGGAGCGGATGTCCTTCATCCACGTCATGTCGAGCTCCTTGGTCAAGTTGTGGTACTCGTCCTGCCCGGGCTCCTTGACAAACCCGCCGTGCTCGGCCGAGAATCCAATGCCGCGGAACTGCCCGAGATGCTTGCCCAAGAACGCCCCGTCGCGGCCCGAGATAATGTAGATCACGTTGCGCTCGTCCTGCGACAGCACCTCGAGCGCCTTGAGCAGCCGTTCGGACGGCAGCGCCATCTCGGGCACCTTGACAATGGGCGTGAGCGTGCCGTCGTAGTCGAGCAGCAGCAGCCGCTTCTTGGCCGCACGGTACTTGGCCACCATCTCGCGCCGGTCCAGCGGCGGCGTCAGATGCGCAGAGTGCTCCGAGTGCAGCCGCGACAGCAGCTGCTTCACCAGCCCCGCCGCCCACGTGTGCGAGGTGTGCATCACCACCTGGTGGTACAGCTGGTCGTGTCGCGCGCGCTTCTCCTCATCCGTCAGCCGCAGCGCATAGTCGATCGCCTTGGCCACCCCAAAGATGTTCCAAGGATTCACCTGGATCGCCGAGCGCATGCGGCCCGCCGTGCCCGTGAACTCGCTCAAGATGAGCGGACTCTTGTTGAAGCGGTTCTGGCAGATGATGTACTCCATGCTCGTCGTGTTCATGCCGTCGCGCACCGACGTGATGAGCGCCAGGTCCGCCACGCTGAGCAGCGCAAAGTACTCGTCGCGGTCGATGATCTGGTGGTAGTGGTGCACGGGCGTGAAGCTGAGCGAGCCAAACTCGCCGTTGATGTGCGACACGAGCTCCGACACCTGGCGCTCCAGCTTGGGCGAGTCGTTGAGCGCGGGCGCCGTCACCTGGATGAGCACCACCTTGTTGCGCCACTCGGGGCACTCGGCGAGGAACTTGTGGAACGCCTGCAGCTTCTGCACCACGCCGCGCACCACGTCGAGCTTGTCGCGTCCGACCAGGATCTTCTTGCCCTTGTACATCTCGCGGATCGCCTCGATCTTGGGCAGCACGCCCGACGCCGAGCTGTCCTTGGCGATCTTGACGGCGTCGATGCCGATGGGGTTGTACGTGATGTTGGTCACGTGCCCGTTGGCCGACTCGACCGCGTTGGACGACGCCTCGTAGCCGCACACGCGGATGCACGACGACAAAAAGTGGCGCGAGTACGAAAACGCCTGGAAGCACGCCAGGTCGGCGCCGAGCATGCCCTCGAGGATCTCCTTGCGCTTGGGCAGGCAGCGGAACACCTCGCTACTGGGGAACGGCGCGTGGACAAACAGGCCCACCATGGCATCGGGCACGAGCTTGCGCAGCATGTGCGGCACGAGCAGCAGGTGGTAGTCGTGCACCCACACCAGGTCGCCCGGTTTGTACTCCTGGGCGATGCGTTTGGCGAAGGCCTCGTTGGCAGCGTAGTAGGCATCCCAGCTGTACTCCTCCCATGCGCGGCGTTCCGAATTGACGTCCTGCCAGAGCAAGTAGTGGAAGAGCGGCCAGAGCGTCGCCTTGCAGTAGCCTTCGTAGTGACCGTGGGCAACATTGTAGTCGAGCCATACGGGCACGTACTTGATGCCGTACTCCTGGTCTTCAGCCTTGTTGGCGGCGGCGGAGCGAGCGGCGGCGGCCTTGGCGAGACTGGTGCTGTTGCTGGGCTTGGTGGTGGCGTCCATGGATCCGACGGGCTCTGTGCCGTTCATGACAGGCACAGGCAGCTTGCTCAACTGCGGTTGGTTGTTTTCCGGGTTGACGGGCGCGCCGGCGACGGGCGCCTCCTGCGTGGTCCAGGCGCTCGCCTGATCGAGCGAGGCGAGGACTTCTTCGATCTCGCGCTTCTCTGCGTCGGTGGTTTCGGAGGCGTCGGCACGGTGGTCGTCGCGCGCCTGCACGGCAAAGCGGATGTCGCCGGGCCAGCCGATGAAGGTCTGGCGATGTGTGGTGCAGAGGCTGCGGATGCCGCTGTTGAGCGCCGTGTGACCGCGGCGCGGCTTGAGCACCCACTGTGGCTGGGGCGGAGCGGTGGGAGGCGAATCGACAAAGGGGCTGTTGTAGTCGCTGACGCCGCCGGTGGCGGACCAGTGCTTCCAAGGCTCCTGGTTGAAGCTGCTGAAGCTTCCACGGCTAGCGGCGGACCACATGGAACCTCTGCGCGAGTTGATGGGCGTGAATCGGTCCTCCTCGGAACACTCGCTGGTATCGTCGACGACCTCGGTCATCATCCATGCCCTGCGACCTGCGCGACGCTTTGCGCGCTCCTGGTTCTCGCGCAGCCTGGCTTCAAAGTCTTGCCCCTCGAGACCGGTCATGCCGAAGCCGGCAGCAAAGGAGGATCGGCGCGAGCTGACGCGGAAGCTGTTCTTGCGCGACACCGACTCGAGCTGGCCGGCCTGACGCTGGAGTTCGCGCTGCGCCTCGGCTTCGCGCTTCTCGGCCTCGGCGGCGAGCTTGGCAGCCTTGCGCGCACGCGCTGCGGCGGCCATGGCGGCGACGCTGGCGGTGGCGGCTATCCTCTCTTCGCGTTGGCGTTCAAAGTCGACCTCGGCGAGCGGGCGGATCTCGAAGGGGATGTAGTGGCTGACGTGGATGATGCGGCCGCTGAGGGGCATCTCGGGGTGTTTTGCGTTGAAGTCATCCTCGAGCTCTTTGACCACCTTGCGCATGTCGTCGAGCGTTTCGAATTCGGCCTGTGCGCCGAGGTCTCCCGTAGCAGCGGTGCCGAGACCCATGCCACCGATGCCATCGGGACGGAGGGAGATGGGGTTCGGAGGCACGAACGAGGCGGGCGAGGCGACGACGTGAGCTGCGTTGCCGAGCACCGGCTGCGAGCTTGCCGAGGCAGCGGCAGGCTCGTTGGAGGTGGAGTGGGAGAAAGACGGAGCGATGGAGGCCGAGATGATGTCTTCCTCGGCCTTTTCACTTTCCCTCTTGAGCTCGGGCCCGGAGGAGTGGCCGGGAGGACGGTTGAGGGAAAGGCTGGGGTTGTCGGAGGGGGAGGTCTGCATTGGCGCAACGCCTTTAAAGTAGTCGACGTTGGAGTCTTGAGCCGACGCAGCGAGCGGCGACGACTTTAGAGGCGCAGCGGAAGCGGCAGCAGCACCACCGATGGCGTCGGGAGACAAGCTGGACGGTTGAGAGGCGGAAGCGGCTCCTGGCGCTGGGGCTGAAACCAGGCTTGGCGGCTCCTCGGAAAAGACGCCCGGGGTGAGCGAGCCTCGACGTTCGAGCGCGGCAGGCTGCGGCGAGAGGGCGGTGGAGCGGGTGCTGTCTGGGCGCGAAGCCGTGCCGTTGGGTTGTGTGGGATGGGAGGAAGCTGAGCCTGTGGTCATGTTGTGTGTGGTGTGCGCTCAGGTGAGCGATATATAGCGGGCCAGCGCAATCGACAAGGTGGCTCTGGCGGTGATGGGTGGGCGGATCAGAAGCTGCAGCGCGTTGTCAGGGCGTCAATGTGCCAATCAGTCAGCGCGTGACTGTGCTTTCCAACCAGTCGACTCGCTCGAGCTTTGCCAAGACGATAGTGTGCGATGAGCGCCGGGTTTTTGTCGAGAGTGACCGTCTGAGACCTTGTTGGATGAAGCAGCGATGAGAGTGAAAGGCGCAAAAGAGACAGTGGGATGGGAGAGAGGGGAGGTGGTGGTGGATCGTGCCGAAGGAAGGAGCTGCATTGATTCGGCGCGAGGCAGAAGAGCGCAGCGCTGTTATCGCTGCCGGAAATCTTGGCAACACAGCAGTGGTGCCCGTCTCGAGAAGGAAGCCAAGCCGAACTGGTCGCTGCGGTCAAGCCATGCCAGCCAGCCCAGCCAGTACGAAAAGGCGCATCGATTTTGACGTCAATTCGACGCACCACAGCACAGCGCGGCATCGCGATCTAATCACAATCTCCAGCTAGCTTCGCCCTTTTCGCCATTCGCGCCCTTTTTCTTTCCATTTTCCTCCACTTTCCACACACGCACACGGTCCACTCTCTCGAAATGGCGCTCTCTGGAAACGACCAGAAGATCCGCACCGGCCCGCCTACGTTTTGAGCGGCTTCATCATGCACGGCTGACTGGTTGTGCTCGACAACACCCGCGCTCCCACCCGGCACTCCGGTCATGCTTACAAGCCGGCTCCTTTCCAGCCATCGTATTGCAGATTTGCATTCAGAAGAACATCTTGTTGAGTTTGTCCTTGGCGGCGCCCTTGATCGCGGCTTCGCGTGTGCTCTTGAGGAAGTTGCTGGCGCCTCGCTCGAGGTTGGTGAGGCCGTCTTCGATGCCGCTCATCATGGCTCCGCGCGCCTTGAGCAGGTCGATGTTTTGATAGCTGGTTGCCCACGCCGAGTCGGCAGAGGCTGCAACGGCCTTGGACCGACTTGGATCGCGCCGTGCTGTTGCTGCACTCGATCCTGTCGCTGTTGGACGCTCGCTCATCTCGACACGTTCGGTGTCGGCAGCAGGCGGCAGGGGCGGACGGTAGTCACGCGGTGCAAGCGCTTCACCGAGCTTAGGTGGTTCAGGTCGCTTATCGCCCGCCAGCACCGCGTCCATCTGTGCTCCCACCGACAAGACGCCCGTGGTCTTGGTGCCGAACCATCCAGCAATGCTCGTTGCCACCCCAGCCGCCGACCCCACTGCTCCAGGGTGAAGCGGCACCGTAGGAGCTGCGGTGGGATCCATCAGCGTCAGGTTCGGCTGACCCGGTCGACGGAGCGAGGCGAACATCGTCCAGAGACGAACGTCGAGGCTGCTGCACACCTCGACAAAGTCGCCATTGGCGTCAAACGAGATGCATGCCCGCCAGCCCGCCGACTCGCCCACCTCGCGATGGTGGCGCTGCAGCCGCACGATCGGCTCCAGCTTCGGCAGGCTCAGCAGCCGGATGCTGGACGCCGTCACCACCGCTGCCACCTTGTCGTGCGCGCGCTCTACCACGCTGCACCCCAGCACACCCTCGCCCATCTCGGCGCGGGATACCACTGGGCCGGTAATGCCGTATCGCATCGTCACCTGTCGCTCGCTAAAGCCCAGCAGAACATCTGCCTCGGGAAGTTCGGTTGTCGATCCGGCCGCCAAGCCGACCTCTTGCTCGCGTAACGCACGTTGCAGATCCTGCGGATGCGCATTGCACGCCCGCCCCTTGGTGTCGAGCACGTGCAGCCCACGCGCATCGACGAGTTCCTCGAGCTTGTGCGTGCCGCTCCGTTCCACCATCCACATATCCAGTGTCCTCTGCAGAGTCCATACCGTCGTCACGCCGTTGGCGCGCACTACGATCAGCCGCGGCGCCAGACTCGGATCCTCGGCAATCCGGCACATGCTGAACATGAGCTGCAAAATTGGGCTCTTGGACTCGGCCTCGATCGCCTTGCGCAGCGTCTTGGCGTCGCCCGGCCCGCCTGCCTCCGATTCGTGTCCGCCGAATCCTTCCTTGAGAATGAGCTCGCCGCATCGGAAGTCAAGCACCGCCAGCGCCGTACCGCATGCTACAGCCAGGAAGCCAATGTCGCTCGACGCCAGCGCCGTGATCTCGCCGCGCATCGGATCCACCATGAGGTTCGGCTTGAACCCATCGTAGCGCGGGTCCGCAAGATGATGCAGCAGCACGATCTCTTCATGTTCAAAGCTACCTGGAGCTGGTGGACCTGGAACCGGAGCCGGAGGGCCAGGAGGAATGCGAGCTGGCTGTTGCAGCGCTGCCTGCTGGCCCGGGTTTAGACTCGCGCGCTTCGGGTCTCTGCGCGGTCGTGGAGGAGGTGCCGTTGTGCCTGGCACTGCCGCGTCCGTCCCCACCTCGAGCTCTTGCATTGCCTTTGACATCTCTGCGTCCAGCGCCTGCGATGTGGCTGCGGCGGCTTCCGACTGCGGCGATGCAATCGACATGGACGAACGGTGCATGCTCGAGCGTGGGCTCTTGACGGGCGGGATAAGCAGATGCGTCTGTTCCTCCTGCCTCTTGATCGACTCCTCCACCTCGTCGTTGATCATCTCGGTCTCGCTCAGCTGTGCGAACCCAAAGCGCATATGCAGCACCTGGCCCGTCGACAGCACGACGCTCGCCTCGAGCACCTCGGTCGCGAACTGCACATCTTGGATGCGGGCGCGTGCGCGGATCCGATCGAACGTCGCATGGCCCTGCATCGCCGGGCTGTGCAGCAGAGCTCGCGCGTCGATCGTGAGGTGCGGAAGAGGCGACGGGAAGCTTTGCTGCAGCCAGATGCGCGGCGAAGCTAACTGGCGCTTGAGGTCGTCTTCATCCACGCGTCCCATCAGCATTAAGTGCGGACTGGCATCGTAGAACCGTACCGAGCCGTCGAGATGCCAGGTGATGAGGATGCGGAACGAGCTTGAACGAAGCAGCTCGGGGATGCCGTCGGATCCTTCGCCAGACAGACATGCCGATGCCTTGCCACCCGCCAGCTCCAGCGGCGGCTTGTCGTGGTTGAACGACGAGCGCAGCGCCGAGCCCGATGCTTCCTGCTCCTGCTTCTGGTTCAAGCCCGTGACATCCAACGGCCCGACCAGCTTACGGTAGGCGTGCGGCGTGAGCGTCTCCAACTTTGCACCCAGGATCGCACCTGGACCGGCCAGGGTGAGCGGCAGTGGCAGGTGCAGCTCCTTCTGTGGCTGGATCGGCACCGAGTTGCTGCCCGGCTGGAAAGCCTGTGGATCTGGCGCAGCGCGTGAATCTGACCTCGTCCGTGGCGGGTAGGCAAAGCACGCTAGACCGCGTGCAGCAGCAGGAGGCGGCAGCGTGGGCAACGCAAGATCGGCTGCAAGCAGCACCACTACCGCCGTCGGATCGTAGCTTCCCGAGTAGTGAGGCTTGTTGCGCGGCAGCAGCATAAAGTCCTCCACCTGACTCGACGTCGGACACACGCTCTCGAACGTGGGCACGAGCGAGTCGCGCAGTGCCTGGCGCAGCTTGCGACTCGCCTCGGCATTCGCTCCTCCCCACAACGTTATCGCAGCAGCATACGGCGGGAGATTGGAGCAGAAGAGACCGGGCATATCCATCTCTGGACCCGCACCTCCGAGCACCGTGAGCAGGGTGCCCTTGACGGGCTCGTCGACAGGCTCGTTGGAGGACGATGCGCGCTGATGCGGTTGGGACTGCCAGCTGGCTGCGCTTTCGCTGGCCATGCTCATCCAGCTCTTTTCGGGAAAGCCGGACCAGGCGAGCTTGAAGATGGGCTCCTTTGGTGGTCGAGGCATGTCCATGAGCGAAGGATCGGTGATGGGCTTGTCCACATCGAGGCAGTCAAGCGTGCGCACCATGAGCGGCTTGTCGTCATCGCGAGCGTGCCAAAACGAGATGCAGCCGTCCTCGTGTCCCATGGCAAAGACTTCTCCATCCGGGCGCCAAGCGACGCACGTTGCCGGTGGAGCGCGTTCGGTCCACACGAGATCCGGATGGCCTCCCGCCCCGCGCGCGCCGGGCAAGAGGCGGAGCTGGAACGTCTTGAGCACCGCACGCTCACGCACGTCGAGCAGGATGGCGCCGCCTTCGTATGCAAGCAGCAGCTGGTTGATGTCCTTTGGATGCGTCTTGATATCAATGATGAGCGGCACGTGACGACGGTTCGGCGCGTCCGGCACGCCCGACTTGCGAAGAATCTCTTCTTCCTCCCACCAGAGGTTAGGCACGCGATAGGGCGATGGACACATGCGTTCGAGATCGTATGCATCCACAGTGCCATCGCGCAAGCCCAGAAACATGTGAGAGTGGGCGGACGAGACTTCGACGCAGATGACCTTGTTGCGCACCGAGTGCACGCCGACTCGCTGCGGCGTATCTGGGTGAGGTGGGCCAGTGATGCTGTGTCCCGTCGATGCCGTCGAAGGGCGGTACTGGTTCGAGGAAGTCCCGTGGGCCGCTCTGATCTGAGGATCGGGTCTGGCCAGGTCGTAGATGCTGACGTTGTCCTTCTCGTCGATGCAGACCAGCAGACCGGCATCGGACTTGAAGGCGAGATGACTGACGCGATGTGCAGGTCGTAGCGAGAAGGAGAGCTGAACGGCAGGCGAACCGAAAAGATGAATAGTTCCGAGTGTGGTGCCTACGGCGAGGAATCCCCGGACTGGCTCAAACGCCATGGTGGTGACCTCGCCTGGCAGAGCCAAGCCAGCGAGGAGACCCTCATTGAAGGTGCCTGCGCTGCTGAGATGCGCATTTGCCAAGGATCGCGACCAGTCGGTGTGATAGAGCCGCTCGGGCACCTTGGAGCCTGCCTGGGCTGCGCGGTCTCGCAGCGTCTTTATCCACGAGGAAGACATGGCCGAAGGTGTGCTCCGAGTGTGGATCGTTGGTTGGTGAACAGTGCTTTATCGCATTGCTTGCGTTGGCCCGTGATGGTGGTGGCTCGATTGGGTGCCTGTGAGTTGCAAGCCGACTGAGCCAAGACCCTCCCACCTTTCATACGGGCTCGAGCGGGAGCCGTGTGGAGGCGCCGCGCCGAGAAATGTCAGAGAATTCGGCTTGGCGGTGCCGATGCCAAGAAGGCTCAGCTGAAGCTCGAGCCAACTTTCTTCGAGCTTCAGCTGGAATCACGCGCTGCACGCATGCCCGAATTCCGAGGAAATCGCCGTCACGCTCGCATGGATCTCGACGACACCAGGGACTCTTCACCACCAACGTCGACAGGCTGGAGGCTCACATCATCATGTCGACGAAGCGGTCCAACGATGTGGCCGCGGCGGTAGGGCCTGCGACGCTCGGCAAGGTGCAGATGCCAGCCGAGCACTTGCAAATCCTACAGCAGCGCTTCGAGTCGCTGCTCTCGTCGATCGTCGGGCTGAAGGAGGAGATCGCGATGGTGCCCGGTGTGGACGAATGGCCAGCGCTCTTGCATCGATACACGAATCTGCTGTCGCACGCATACTCGCTCTCGTCGTCGCTGCTATCTGCATCGCCACATTTCCTACCTTCGCAGCTGGCGTCGTTCAACAAGGTGCTGGAGGCCGAAGCCGAGAACTCGAATCTGTACGCCGATGTAGGCACATCCTCTGCACTCTTTGGCAGCTTGATGGGTGCATCCGGTGGCGGTGGTGGAGCGGATGATGGCGTGAAAGCTACAGCCGATGGGCTTCCCGAACTAAGCTTTTACGACCGCAACAACCCACTACCTCTGCTGCTCGCACACCCCGTGCTTCCAATCCCGGACGAGAACATCAACTTCCTCGGTGCGCTGTTGCGAACGGCACCCGAAGCGGACATCATCAAGCAAGAAAGCAGCCTTGTCGAAAGCTACGATGCCGCCAAGGCTCAACAGGCCGGATGGATGGCGAACGAGGATGCGGATGTGGATGCGCAGCTGGAGCAGATCGAAGACGAGATTGCACAGCACGATATGCTGGCGCTACGATCGCTGCGCACCTGGTACCATGTGCGATATGCACCGGACGAAGAGGGCAACGTGCTCAACGTACGCGAACGACTCCCGCCCGCCGATGACGCCGAAGACGATGCGGGCGAGGACGATAGCGAAGACGACGATTCGGACGACGACGACGACGCGCAGGCAAAAGCACAGCAGCTCGAGCAGCGTCATCGTCGAAAGCTCGAACAGAACTGTTGGACCGCCGATGCCGTGTCGGCATTCCTGCGCGGCCAGCCAGTTCGCTCCTAACACAGCCCGAAGTTACTCTGCATTCACTCGGCGATATCGCAGCTCATTTGTATACCCAATCATCGTAATCCGACGCTGTGTTGCACTAGGCTGCTGCGTTGCGGCTGGAAGACGCTGCGCTGAGGAAGAAGAGAGATGAAATCGGGTTCGGATCGGGTCGCGGGGTTTGCCGATTGATCGAGGCTTGAAACTGGCTGGCCGGGAAAAGCAATGGCAGCCGTCGGGCAAGCCACTCTTGGCGCTTTGAGCCAAGCTGCGATGGAGCTGGAAAGATCGAGGCTGATCACGCTGTTGCATGGCGTGCATGTGGCGCGCCAAGTTGACTGCAGATCGGAGATTGACTCTCAAGCCAGCTGCATGTGGCCTGCCCAGTATCCGAGTGGCTGTGAGGTGTGCAGGGGTCGAGACGCTCATTGGACCGCATTGTTACGCGATGGGGCGATGCGCAGGACCAACCGCCACGATCGGGACACCAACACTGACAGCGGCTGTCCTACGGTACCGCCCGCCAGCCCGAGGGTACGCACGAGATTTGGCACCAGTGCGAGCCGATTGGGGATCTGCTGGCACCGGTCGGAATCCGAGCTTGCTTTTGCCGACCGAGGTGTCAAAAAATCGGATCCGGCAACGGAAGCAAAGGGCCCCAAGGCCGAAGCGGGGTCTAGACCCAACCGGACGCGTCTTTCAATCCGCGCAGCCAGCAACGGCGGGCGTTCAAAAATGGTCCACCCAAAATGGAAGCCCGTCGGCGACTCGCCAGCAAGCCTCCCAACACATTCTCCCTCTCTCACACCCCTGCCACAATCACTGCCCCGCTCTATTCTTCTGTCTCAACTGCTGCCGAGCTGCAACGTACAACCCGGGATCGTTGAGATTCATCTCGTCAGCAGAGGCACATCAGCCATGGTCAAAACGAAATGCAAACAGTCAATGTACGCTGGGCAATGTAGTGTAAAGCACAAAGATCGACCGCACTGGGAGCGTGTACACCGAGCTTTCGGATTGCACGTGCTTGCCCAGAGCTATGCACGATCGGCATGGATGGCACGACGTTGGCTACTCTAATCGTCCGCGTGGTGTGCAGCAGCTTCGGAATGGACACGCACGCAAACAGGCTCGAGAACGCTGCAAGGGCACGAGGCTGAGCGTAAAGCAGAGGCCGTTGGCCAACACACCTTAAAAATGGCGTCGAGGCCTAGACTCGACGACGGCCTGGCCTCAATCGTGGCTGGCACACAGGCCCTGTGGCTGGCTGTTTGGCTTGCATACAACAGAGCCCAGTCGTGCATGCATCGAAGCGCGGCTCTTCCAAAATCTCGAAATTCCACCAGAAATCCGTTCGCCGACAAGACCAAAAGCCAAAAAGCCACGCTTAGCCGCCCTGAGACCTTGTCTGTGCAGCGCAGAGAGCGGCGGCGCCACGAGTCCTTGACGGCGTTCCATTTGCAAGCGCGCATAACCCA